TTTTATTGATTTTTTTTACAGAGGAAGGGAGAGGGAGAGAGAGTCAGAAACATCGATGAGAGAGAAACATTGATCAGTTGCCTCCTGCACACTCCCCGCTGGGGATGTGCCCACAACCAAGGCACATGCCCCAGACCGGAATCGAACCTGGGACCCTTGAGTCCGCAGGCCGACGCTCCATCCACCGAGCCAAACCGGCCAGGGCTGGGTATTTAATTTTAAAACGTGCCTTTAACATTTATGTAAAATGTTTTTTGTACTTGTTCAATAGAAACTTATCTGACCACTGGGTAAAGCTAGCAATAAAACTACTGGTCCGCAATGTGTTAACAAGGAATAATTGGGTTCCTTCTATACAATGGAACCATGGAGTTCTCCATCTGGAACCCAGAGGATTCTCTAGGAACTCTCTTAGTACTTTCACACTCAAAAGTAAATGTTAATGGAAAACTACAGGTGCAACCGCCAAGAAAAGGCAGGATGATTGAGAGCTCACTCTTTGAGAATGAAGGTTTGAGTCACTTCACAGAGTAAAGAAACGCAACTAGCTGGGTTGGTGTCTTTAGTTCATTCAGGCTGCTATAACAGAATACCAAAGAATGGGTGGCTTATAAACAACAGAAATTTATTTCTCACAGATCTAGAGACTGGAAATTTCAAGATAAAGATTCAGATCTGTTGTCTGGTGAGGACCTGCTTCCTGGTTTATAAACAACTAGAGGCCTAGTGCACAACATTCGTGCCGAGGAGGGGGGCCTCGGCCTGGCCAGCACCCTCTCGCTCCCCTAAGCCGGCAGGTGGACATCCCCCGAGGGGTCCTTAGTGCTGCCACGGAGGAGAGGCAGGAGAGGCGGGAGAAGCTTTTGCTAGCTGTGAGCCTGGCTTCTGGCTGAGCGGTCTGCCCCCTGGTGGTCAGTGCGTGTTGTTCCACCGGTTGTTCCACTATTTGGTCGATTTGCATATTAGGCTTTTATTATATAAGATTGTCTGTTTGGTGTGTCTTCATAAGGCATAAGGAGGAAGTGAGCTTTCTGGGGTCTCTAATCCCATTCATGAGGGCTTTGCCCTCATGACCTAATCACCTCCCAAAGGCCTCACATCCAAATACCATCACAGTTGGGATTGGTTTTCAATATATGAATTTTGGGGGTGGGGTGGGGGGGTAGTACACACAAATATCCAGTCTATAGCGGCATGGATGAGATAAAATTAGCTGTAAAATAAGAAAGCCATACATATTAATTACAGCCTTGTGACCAATATATAAATGAGGACTATAGCAAGATTGCATATTTTCTATTTGCTTGTTATACCATTGTATAGGAATTTAAATGTATGTAGATGAATGCATATGGAAGATGAATTAGTCAAATGAGAAGACAGATGCTGGTTATAGATTTAGTGCTACTCAGCACCAAATTCACCCTTTTAGACTACTTTGTACAAATGGATCTGGGCCCTTTCAATATTTCTTTTCCTGTGCTAGCTAGCAGTAACTTTTTGTTAGGACACTGGAGAGAAACTGCAACAGGAAAGGGGTTCAGCTTCCTAGTTTCTGGTATGATTACTTGGTAGACTTCTGCAGAATGTGCAGCTCCTCCTGTCCCAGGCTCCTAGCTACTCTGGTGCCTGGCTCTTGCAGTGCACTGGCCAGAAGTTTCCTTATTTCTCCCACCCCCACCCTCCCAATGGTTTTATAGCAAAGTGCTTTAGGCTCCTAAGAAAAGTCCTCAGTGAACGTTGTGTTTTTTTTTGTTTTTGTTTTTTTTAAATATATTTTATTGATTTTTTACAGAGAGGAAGGGAGAGAGATAGAGAGTTAGAAACATCGATGAGAGAGAAACATCGACCAGCTGTCTCCTGCACATCTCCCACTGGGGATGTGCCCGCAACCCAGGTACATGCCCTTGACCGGAATCGAACCTGAGACCTTTCGGTCCGCAGGCCGACGCTCTATCCACTGAGCCAAACCGGTTTCGGCCTCAGTGAATGTTGTTGATGGGTTCTTGTAACTACAGTGGAACAATGTATGACAAAAAAAAACCAACAATTTACCATTGGCTAATTGATATAAACAAAAGTTAAGTTCCTAAGGCACCTCAACAATTTTATAGTAAAATGACGTTGAACAAAACAACATTATTCAAGGACCTGCAACACAACTTATCTAGCACTAGATTCAGTGCACTCATTTTCCCGTGTCTGCAGTGCACGGTGCCAGCAGCTTCACCCGGTATTCCCACACCCAGCTGATTTTGTGGCAGAGTGTCTCTGGTGAGACACCTTCCCTGGACAACTTTTTTGGGCTTCTTGGAAAGCAGATCTCCAGCAAGTTCAAGAGGACAGATTTTTGGCAGCATACAGCACAATGACTTCTCTACCATGGCTATGCCCTCTCCAACAGGGTCTGGATCTCAGCCTTGAAAGGGGGATGAACTCTTCCTTTCTTAGAAACTCTATCCCATATCTCAGTCTTGGGGTTAATGATCACTCCTTGTAAGTTTCCCCCCCTTTATTTGTTTTATTGTAACTGTTTATGTTTTTTAGAACTCCCCTTACTTCTTACTAGACAATCCCTCATTACTGTAACCTCCTGTTAGAAAGAATCATTCTTTACATTAAATATTCTCACCTAGTGCTTGCTTCGGCAGCGCATATACTATAATTGGAACAATACAGAGAAGATTAGCATGGCCCCTGCGCAAGGATGACACGCAAATTCGTGAAGCATTCCATATTTTTTCTGCACTTATAGAAAATCTAGACTTTTGCCTGAGTTGTTTAATAATAAAATATTACATTTTTTTCCCAAGGGGGGGGGGAATTCTCACCTATCACTATGTAGTTTCTTTCTCCTGATTGGACTGGGGCTGATACTAAAAGAAACCAACAATTCTAGAACTGGCACAAGGAGGTAACAAGATAAATATGTTCATCTTTTTTTTAAATTCTCACCCAATGATATTTTTCCATTGATTTTAGAGAGAGTGGAAGAGAGAGGGAAAGACAGAGAGAAATATCGATGTGAGAGAAACACATGGATTGGTTGCTTCCTGCACAAGCCCCAACCAGATACATGCCCTTGACCAGAATCGAACAAAGGACCCTTTGGCCCGCAGACCGACACTCTATCCACTGAGGCAAACCGGCTAGGGCTGTCCATCTTTTTATATTAGGAAGCAAAAAGGTGCTCAGGTAGCCAAAGTTATGACATTTTAAGCATCAAAAGAATGATTTTAGTGGAAACCCTGAATCAATGAAAATCCATGAGTCCATAATAGTCCATAAAAAGATAGCCAGAAAAAATAAAACAGTAACATTTGAGGCAGCTTTAAAACAAATCCTTATTTTAAAAACAAGAAATTAAAAAAGAATTAAGACATCTTGACTTTCTAATAGAAACTCAGGAGATTGCCAACTAATATGTAGTAGAATTAATTATCCTATCTAATAATAGACAAACATGGTAATTGACTGTACCTTCGCTACGCCTTCCATGGGCTAATCAGCGAGATATGCAAATTAACCGCCAACAAAGATGGCAGCCCGAAGCTGCAGAGCGAAGACTGAAGGCGGCTCCGGCCGGAGCGAAGGCCTGGGTCCCAGGTGCCGGAGGAAAACCGGTGCCGGCAGCCAGGGGAAGGGAAGGCCTATTGCACAAATCTTTTCGTGCAACAGGTCTCTAATACAATTAATAAAATACTATTTGGCAAGCCACAATTAAAGTGGCAACAATTATAAACTAGAGTTTAAAACATTAGGCAAAAAGTTGACATGGAATAGACACTTGTAAAATGATAAACTACCATCAAACAAATTGCATTATATTACAAGGGGAAGACAAAGTTTATAACAGAGAAATCAGACTGTCATCATCTTAATCCAGTCAATGCTAGCATCAGAAATGAAAGGCCAACCAAAAAGTATTTATATTCTGATAAGATGTACATGAAGTAGCTGTGATGTATTCTAGCCAAAAATATTTAACCTTTAAATTAACCATCAAGCCTTTCGTCTTTCTCAACCGGGGTTCTGGGAAAGAATTAAGTCCTGCAGAAAATGATTTTTAGTAACTATTTCCTCAATTATCCCAAGGATGGTATATAATAGCTGGTACTATTATTAATGCATTGGAAATAATTCATTACATACAATGGATGCATTAATATCATTAAGGCTTAATTCTCTTGAGGAATCCCTATGAAGTAAGTCTGGCTTTGGATATAACTTCCAAATAGATGACTTACAGAGGACAGAAAAACAAACTAAATGAAACAAAGACAAAACAATCAGAAAATTCAGAAGGTAAGGTATTTTATAAAACAACTGGTCCAATCTCTTCAACAAATCAGTGTCATTTTGAAAAAGAGGAAGAGAGACTATGATTAAGAATCATAATAACCACCTGGCCATTGTGGCTCAATGGTTGAGTGTCCACCCATGAACCAGGAGGTCATGCTTCAATTCCCGGTCAGGGCACATGCCCATGTTGCAGGCTTGACCCCCACTGCAGGAGGCAGCCAGTCAATGATTCTGTCTCATAATTGATGTTTCTATCTCTCTTTTTCTCTGAAATCAATAAAAAAAATATATTTTTAAAAAGAATCATAATAGCCCTAGCCAGTTTGGCTCTGCTCAGTGCATAGAATGTCGCCAAAGGGCCCCTGGTTTGATTCCAGTCAAGGGCATGTACCATGGTTGCAGGCTCCTCCCGGCCCAGGCCTTGGTCAGGGCGTGTGCAGGAGGCAACCAATCAATGTGTTTCTCTCACATATTTCTCTTTCCCTCTCTCTTCAACTCTCTCTAAAAATCAATTTTTTAACATATGCAGCCTACTTTATTATATAATGGACTTTCAGCTTTAATGGAGGATAGACGGACACCCCCTTGCCCAAATTAGTCTTTTATATCAAGGTTTTACTATAATGAAACTGAAGAACAAAATAACTACCATGGCTTTTTGCTCCTACACAGCAACTTCTTATTTCAAACCTACTCACCAATAGAGATACCACTGTACTAGAGTAGAAGGCCAAATCTTCTATTATTTCTGTGCGTCGGTTAGCTCCAATTCGTAAGGAACGACTATGTACTTCTTCAGGTAACACTGTAAGGATCTCCAGCAGAAAAGGCAGAGAAGTCACATCATTGCTATATCTAGAAAAGAAAGGAGAGACATAAGATACTTAGAGTCAGAAAGAACACAATCACATAAGGTAACAAGAACCATCAGAATAACCTATGACAACAACTTTTGAAGGGTATCTGAAAACCAAAATTTCAACTTGCATAATCTTTGACCCAACAATTTCACTTCCAGATATATTTCTCAGAAAAATCTCATAGGTACATACAAAGATGTGCCCTGCAGTACTTCTTTATAACAGTAAAAACATTGGGAAAACATAAAGGTCCCTCATAATTAAACAAGATAAAGAAAGTTCCAAGTTATACAATAGAACATACATAGCCATTATGAGATACCTATCTATGTTATAACAGGAAAAGATATCCAAAGATATAAGTGATAAAAGTATATGAAACATATTACATGAGTGAACAAATACATATATATGCATATGTATAATATAATATGTGTATTATTTATTATAAAATGCTTAAAGGAAAATCTAGAGGGCTATATAGTCAATCATTAATATGAAATATAGGAATAAGGAGAAAAAAGGTGTTTGCTTTTTACTTTGAAATAAAATAAACTATCCATATAAAGTCTTTAATGACACACTATGCTTGGAGGTAAAAAGGACATTCACTAAGTTCAAAAATAATTTCCTGACCAAATGCCAAAATGCAAACAAATATCAAGATTATCTTGCCAAGACCATGAGGAAATGCTTTATTCAAAGTAGCAGGCTCCATGTATCTAAAAATAATGTTGTCCCTGTGATAGACATGAAACACACCCCAATTAGTAAGAACGTATACTCACAACAATTTACAATTTTCAATTTATTATCATCTTAAACATCCTAAAATACTTTTATAGAATTGCTGGCTTATCAATGAGAGTGATCCATGAGGCAATAAAAAGACTTTGCTGCAGTTAATTCAAGTGATGTGTGTGCATGTAAATTATGAGGGTCTTTTATGTTCCACATGACATGTTTTTATAGCATTTAAATTTTAAATGATTTTCTTTTAACCTAACAACGGTTAATAATAAATAATTCTATGTTAAGAGTTTGGGGAAATAGTGCAAATGTCTAGCTATTGCTAACAAATTTCTCTGTGTAGGTTAATAGTAATCCCAAATGCTAGCATACAGTCAATACAAGTTACTTACTTTTCCACCAATGTTTGTACACACCCCTTCCATGAAGGCATCTGTAGGGCAAGGTCTGCTATTGCTAAAGCCAGCTGAATAAGAAGAGAAATTAAATAAATGAATAGAACAGATGAACAGAAATAGGGTTACCATCAGTATTAATTGACAAGAAACAAAATTTCTTCCAAACAATAAGAATGACACCCACAACTATCTATATCATACACACTCTCCCAGGTTAGCTACAAATTACTGGGATTTAAAGGTAAACTTTAAAAATGAAAAAAAAAAAAAAAGAAGAAGAAGAAGAAAGAACAGATAATAGATTTTCCTCAGGATATAACAATACTTACTTTTATTTGGCAATACCATAGAACTTCATGGACAGAGAAATTTTACTTTGTCAAAAAGCCAAAGCTACTGACAAAGTCAGCCCATTGACTCACTCCTCAAGTAATGAATTGCCATTTCCCATCTTCAAGACTCATGCAAAAGCCTCCTTCCTCTTCAAGGGCACTTCTATGCCAGGCAGAGAACACATATGTATGTATTCACTGAAGCTTCAGTTTTCCTTCCTAAAGTTATTTCCCTGTCTAAGGGGGAAAGGCCAAATGCTCTACTTCACCATTTCATTCATGACACTTTTATTAGCCAATCAGTCCAGAAAAGATTTTTTTAAAGGCAACTACATAGACCGCTGGCCCAGAATAGCACAGTATTTTCATCATCTGCAATTTTAAGAAGGGGTGGAGGGGGGCACATGTGGCTGTCTATGAAACCTATACTCAACTCCCCCAGTCCCAGTATTTGCTAGTTTAAAATGAACTCTAAGATTAATACAAAATATTTAAATTTTCACTTTCTATCCACTTATAAGAATATAGCAATTATTGTATAATAAAGTTGTTAACATTACTTCACATGGTCTGGCAATGTTAATAAAAATTAATTTGATATCCAAATGGTCTTCTTAACAAATTTCCCTAATGAGAAGCATAGGCTTTACCTGTGTTACAATGACAGGTGACAAGTCTTTCAAGTTCTGGATATGGGTTAGCAGTGAGTCCCGTAAAGAGGCATGAGAGTCTGTGGGGAGCTCGTAAAATGAGGTCTGAATCTTCATTTTCATGGTCTGTGCAGCAAAATAGCATGATTCTACATCCTGTCGAATCTGTAGCAACTGGTCTGAAATCTCCCATGCATGAACCTGAAAGGAGATCAAACAAAATGTCTTAAGGACTGCTTTTCTAAATGAATTTAATATTAACAACCTATATACCAAAGTATAATGAAAGAAAAATCTGACAAACTAAATTATCCACTAATCAGCCAATACTTAAAATTTATAGGCTCTATTAAACAAAAATATGACCTAAACTCTTCTGACTAATTCTAGGAAAGCATAAGAGTTATCAACTGAATCAAAAAATCTAAACCTGCTGTTAGAATCATTAATTGTGTAGGGAGGAGATTATGAAGAAAAATGTCCCAAAAGTTTCTACTAAAGCTAAAATGTCACTGCATAACTTTCCAACCCTAATGTATAGCTTGGCTGTTTCTTCTTTTTTCCACTTAAAACCTCAGAAAAACTCTCATCCCAAGTCAATATCTCACATAATTAAATTATTTTTATATATTTGGCAAAGTACTATTCATGCTATTAAAATCATTTTCAAAGGAGAAAATAAGTGTTTGTATAGAAATAATAAAGAGAACAAAAGCATAGAATTTGGTCCCTAACAGCTAGTCATAGTTATAAAATGGATTCCTATTTTGAAAGATAACTTTTGAGAATAAAATCGAGCAGCACACAATAGGCAACTAATTAACAACTGACCATCTAAAGCAATTCTACACCAAACTTCCTCTTCATGGGAAAAGGCTAAAATGGACTGGCAATGATGGACTGAAAAAAATTTTCAGTCTTAATTCGGAAATAGAGTTAATGTGAAGAGAAATCACACAGATTTACCTAGTCAATTTTTTATGAAGATAGAGCACTTCACAACTAATATATAGTGATTTTTTAAATTATTATTTCAGAGAGGAAGGGAGAGAGAGAGAGAAACATCAATGATGAGAGAGAATCATTGATCAGCCATCTCCTGCATGCCCCCTACTGGGGATCGAGACAGAAACCCTGGCATGTGCCCTGACCGGGATTCAAATTGTGACCTCCTGGTTCATGGGTTGACGCTCAACCACTGTGCCACACTGGCTGGGCCATAGCTATTCTTCAAGATCTTTCCAAAGATAAACAGGAAGTCAAGGGAGAAAAAGGTAGAATAAATGCCTATAAAAGTTTCCAAAGTAAACTAAAAATAGAGACCCTGAAATTCACCACAGGTTTATTGAAATAAAACTTCACTTTAAATCAGTAAGTTGGTGGAATATAAGCATGAAACATCAACTTCTTTCTAGATCATATTATTTTACTTTTTTTTGGAAGTTGTACCCCAGCATGTTGCAAAAAATCTCCCAGCCACATAATTTTTAGTGATTCATTATCCAACCAGTAACTCAACTACATCTGCTACTTAATATGCCATTAAAATATATTTTGCTCAAAATGACACTTTAAAAAAAAAAGATTATATGAAGCCTTGAAATCTCCATAAATGCCCTCATAAAAACAGAGTATTTATGCAGTAAAACTAAAGAACTGTGGACATTTATAACAAAACTAGGTGTTACCTAGTTATCTCCAAGAACCCCAAATTTTAAGTGGTTGGGGACAAACCAGTGACATCAATAAGACTTGTAGAGTTTCAGCTTCAGTAGAAGCAGAAGTAGAAGGAAACAACAGGTAGCAAATGGATCTAAGAGCAGATGAACAACAAAAGAGCCAACAGGTATTCACTAGAAAGCACAGGGAGCCAACTTGAGGACTATATTTGAAAATGGAAGAGGATTTGGTGGATAGAAAAGGTGAATGAAAGAGGTCTACGTAAGGGCTAAAGAGATGGAAATCTCTATAAACTCTTGAAACTGAAGAGCTAGGACAGGGCTCTAAACTGAGAAGTAGTATGAACAGAATCAAAATTATACAGGACAAGTACAATTGAGACAAAGGGAACAAAGGAGAAGGTTAACAAAGCTAGGAAATCTTAAAAATAAACCACCGTGTTTGTAAATACTACCTGAAAACAACAGAAAAGGAAGCTCTTTAAATTTGAAAATACTATCCTTAACCATGCCTTCTAAAAGTTCAAAAAAAACTAATCTCACACAAAAATAAGCAAATGGCCCGGCCAGTGTGCCTCAGTGGTTGAGGATCAACCCATGAACCAGGAGGTCACAGTGTGATTCCCAGTAAGAGCACATGCTCAGGTTGTGGGCTCGATCCCCAGTGGGGGGCATGCAGGGGGCAGCCAATCAATGATTCTCTCTCTCCCTCTCCCTTCCTCTCTCTAAAGTCAATAAAAATATATTTAAAAAAATAAACAAATGAAGTCAAATGCCATATATACAGAAGTGGTTGAGAAGAAAATAATGAACAGAATAATATTCCTACAAAAAAAGTAGGCCAGAAAAACATTTTTAAAATTAGCCTGAAGTCCAAAGGACAGAACAGTCAACCTGAAAGAGCTTCCAATGGCCACAGTTAGAAAATCTGGGGTAATAAAATTAATTATGATAGTATTAGATTATAACTAAAAAATAAAACAAATATCCTTGAGTCATACAGGTGTGAATAACAACTGAGTAACTGTTGAGGCATTATTTATAGGCTGTAAGACACTTTATATCCTATGCTAGGTAATGAATGTAGAAGGAATGAGAAAAATAGAAACACTACAGATAATAACTGCTACTGGCAAGATTCATGTATAAATGATAAAATTAATGGGTGAAACTTTAAAGAGAAACATGATATATCAAAGTATCTCCCCAAAATATTTGTTACTGTGGTGGTTTTACGCTATGTCCACAAATTCTTTGACACTTACCATGTAAGAACTCAGACTACTCTGCTGGAGAGACAATGTACAAGACCAGGAAGTCTCTGGAAAGTCATGGAAAGCAAGAGGAGCCCAGCTAAGTCCAGCCTTCCAGCCATTCCTACCAGTGTCAAGCATGTAAATAAAGCCATCTCAGAACCTCCAGACCAGCCCATCCACCAAATGGATGCCTCATGGAGCAGAATTATCTTCCACGGAGCCCTGCTTGAATTCATGACCTACAAAGTTATGAGACACAATGAAATTGTTTTTGTTTTAAGTCACTATGTTTTGAGGTAATTTGTTTCACAGTAGTAGATCATGAGAACAGACAATCAGTATGTGCATCCTGATGAAAAAACAGGATCCAATGACAATTACTTCAAATCATTCTGTGTCTCATCAAGCCTTTGGATCCAGCTGGCAATTTGCAGGAAATACAGAAGAGAGTAGAATTGCATCATACTGCAATCATCAAAATCTAGACCATAGGGAAACTCAGCAAGTCAAATGACCCAGATTCCTCAACAGATAAATAATCCACACACAGAGAAAGAACCCATAGATTAAAAGACACTCAGAAGATATTTTAAAAACAAACAGAAGGATCAAAGTAATGTGGAAGAATATCCACTTGGGTGATAAAACCATAAAGATAAACAAAGAAGGGATTACTATGAAAGGACAGTGGATACTTTTAGGGAGAGGAAGCAGTTATTTCAAACAGGCCACAAGGAAGACTTCTAGAGTGGCCAGTGAAGTTCTATTTCTTGACTTGGTAGTGTCTATATGAACACTGTATACAGTAATTCATTGTTATACATTTTTTTCTATATCTGTTTAAAAACAGAATAGACAAAACAAAAATAATATTGCCTATTAAACTGAACTAGTCTGAAGTCTTCTCCCAAGTGAAACCTTTCAACCCACTAGAGATCAGGACCCTGTGAAAAAGTTAATTGATTGTGCAGCGCTATGTTGTGCTTTAATCTGAATGGCAGAAACTAGCAAAAAATACCAACTGATCATGCTGGGTTATATATATTTCTGACCTAAACATTTCTATCTCCTTAAAAGGAGAGGTCTCAAAAATGAAGGACAGAACCAAAAGTCAAAACAAAACAAAAATACTATTTCCTTCTGGGGGGTAGGGATGCAAAGATTTATTTTTCAAGCACCTTTAATGTCTGAATATTTTTTAACATATCCTTTGGAATTGCCTTTAAAAATAAAGATGGATTTGTATTCCTAATATGGAAAGATCTCCAAATATACAATTGAAAAAACAGATACAGGTACAGATTTGTAAGATCCTTTTTGTAAAAATTTAATTTACACTTTTTTTTAGAAAGTGTAATGAAGCTTTTTTAAAAATTGATTTTGAGAGAGAGAAATATCGATTTGTTGTTCCACTTATTTATGCAATATTGATTGATTCTTGTATGTGCCCTTAAAGGGGATCAAACCAACAACTTTGTTTATCTGGACAACACTCTAACCAACTGAGGTACCCAGCCAGGGAATAGAAAGTGTAGTGAAGCTTTGTAACACATAGGAGTTAGTTTTATGCTCTATATCAGGGGTCCTCAAACTACGGCCCGCGGGCCACATGCAAATACAAATATTGTATTTGTTCCCGTTTTGTTTTTTTACTTCAAAATAAGATATGTGCAGTGTGCATAGGAATTTGTTCATAGTTTTTTTTTTAAACTATAGTCCGGCCCTCCAACGGTCTGAGGGACAGTGAACTGGCCCCCTGTTTAAAAAGTTTGAGGACCCCTGCTCTATATGCTCCCTAAGCAACCTGACACTATCATTCTCATAGCATTTATCAGGTGTTTCAACTTTGGTTATAACATACTGGATGGCATTACACCAATTTTCCATCCTAAAACAAGTACAAAAGATGAATAAAAAAGAGCTTATTTGAGGACATCAAAGCTATCAAGACAGCTAGAACATGAAGCTGCAAATTCCAGAGATGAAATAGAAAAGCACAGAGTTCAGCCCAATATTTAGCTCCACTTTTTCATAGGAAAAAGCATTTGCCTATTTCAAAGTGGAAGACAAGAGGCTAAAGAGCCTTGGGCAGTCTCATAAGACTGGGGAGATGAAAACAAATTTAGGGCACACCAAGGAAGAGGAGCCCTGGTAAATACTCCAGACTTTCAGTTGGGACTCAAGTGAAGAAAATAGGAACTACACCTCAAAAAAAACAGAAACATCTCCAAGGCAGACCAGATGACAGGCCACAATATAAGTCCTA